CAGCACAGCAGCAACACCATTCCAGCTGCAAACCTGCCCAGCCATGACAGCTTCTCCCTGTTCCTACAGCTTGTTTTAAACTTTCTGTATGCTCAAAGAAAGGGAGAAACACACAAGTCCAGAAAAAGTCATACCATGACTATTTTTTAGCATGCCATTGTGTTCAGAAGCTCCCCAGAAATCAAAGACTTTCTGAATTTGCCAGCAACAATTAAAGAAAATCTATTTCTTTGCTGCTGTTCATAATTTAACCACCCTCCCCTCTTATTTGCACTGTTTATACATGAATTCCTACAGCATTATGTGCTTTGTATAAGCAGGAAAAGTCCAGTCCAGACACGGCTCCATGACAGCTCCTCCTGACTAATAACAGAATTATCCTTACATAAGTCCTTTCTCTTCCTTGGCATTTTTTTCTCCCTCCGTGAAGGTACTTCCCGCACAGCCCGGCAGGATGGAGCTGCTCAGTTCCATGCCTGATGTCGCAGTGCCATCTCATGGCAGCTCCAGTGCCAGCCTTTCAAAGGAGATCCACTTGCTTTCAGCTCTTTGCAGGTGCCTTCTTGTTGAGCCGTTGAGACTTTAAATTTATAAACTTGAAAAAAGAAAAAAACCCCAAAAAAATCTCCCCAAAATTATTGCAAAGTGAAATAAAACAAGCCATCAAGCTTTCTATGCAGACCAGACCGTGCTTGTGTCACAATGCAGGATCATTTCCCAGTTAACCTGGCAGGCCACCCTGTCCTTTCACAGGCAAATATTATTTTGAAAGGTTGCTAAGATCCAGCAATGCTAATGCAATTGGGTCAGGATTTTCCTACTCCAAACCCCCTATTTCATGACCAAAAACATGCAGGAAAAATCCCTTCTACCTTTGATGGGATTTTCAATATGATCCACCCCACGCCTGTGACAGCTCCAGCAGGGAGGCAGGGGTGCCAGGATGGGTGCTTCCCTGGTGGGAGGACATGGAATGTGATTACCCAGGGAGGGCACATCATGGCACAGGATTACATGTACCATCCATCACTTGCTGACTGGGCTGTTTTCTCTTTGCACACTTGTATGGAAATGTAACTACAAAACATTCCTCTGAGCTGTTCACTTATGTGCAAATATAGCTTTAAATGACTTCTCTAGGAAAGAATCCTCACTATTTTATACAAATTGTCTTGCATGTTTATTACACAGAACCATGATCCAAAAAGAAAGGGATCCATCCCATGCCTGTTCATAACCCTGTTACACATTATGAGCTGAACATACTCCAGGCCCCTCACATGATGAATGATACCTCCTTCACTTCCAGCCTGCTCCCATGTGTTTATTTATTTATGGAGCCTCAGTGCTGATGGATACGCTCCCAGCTCCTCCATGAGACAGAGCACATCACAGGCACTGGGCTTGCAATGGGCAGCTTGGAGAGGGAGCAGTAAAAGCTGAAACTCTGCTCCTGGCCTCACCACTGTGCAGGGATGCCCCAGGACTGCTCCAGAACTGCTGCACTTCCCACTGACATTGTTCCCAACAGCTGGTAGTTTCTCCACCGCATTTAAAGCCCTTTTTCGTGCCCCTTGACTAGGAGCAGAGCACCAGGCTGGACTCAAGAGCCATGCAGGTGCATGGATGCCCACCCTCCCACTCCAGGAATGCTGTGCCTGGGAGGTACCCACGGGATGTCTCCTGCTGTATTTAGCTTGGCTGGCTCGGCCAGCCCATTCCATTGTCTGCACAGCCTCGGGGAGAGTGGAAGGAAACAATGTACTGCCCAGCCAAGCAAAACACAGGGAGGTCAAAAGCTGCTGCACGGCTTCTTGGAGATGACCCATGCTCCTGAGGCAGGTCTGCTTGTCTCCTGGCATGGGAGCATCCTGCAGAGCCCTGCACTAACAGCACAGCTCCCAGCCCTGGCTCTGCACACACCACCTCCCTCCCAGGGATGAGGTTCTCCAACCTGGGTGGGAGGGAGCTGCTGGGGTGGGTAGTCCCCGTGCAGAGCACAGCCCCCATTCCCCTGTGCCGTGGTATGTAGGGCTTCAGAAATAATCCAGTGTTCATTACCTTGTCAAATTAAAAAATTGAGAGCTGTCAAAGTGTAGCAAAGATTGGAGGTGGCTTTTATAGCAAACCGTGGAATCTCCCACTGTTTGTCTAATCTAATTTCCTCATCCTCGTTGCCCTAAGAGAATCATTACAAGATGGGGAGAAGTAGACAGATGAAAAATTTCCAGCTGAAGGCACCTCCCCCTTCCATGAGTGTGTGCAGATGAGAGGGTTTATATAAGCTGTGTGGGATCAATAATTTCCCTCTGTCAGGTTTATGTTTTAAGACAACTCTTAGCTTTCATCCCTTCTGGTTAATCTGCCATAGAAAGAATATAAAAATAAAAATATTCTTTTGTCTGGCAGCAAACACTCCTGTCTTCCAGCACTGGCATTAAGAAGGCAGTCCTAGGGAGAGCAACATGTGGCACATCTCAAGCCCCTTCAGCTGAGATAAAGCCTTAGAGGAACCAGCTGCTGTGACAGCAGAGGGTGATGAGCTGTCCAACAACAGCAGCAAACCCAAACCCAAATAATTAATTAGTCAACACTGTCTCTGCTGGGGAAGGAAAGGTTAAAACCATGCCAGCAACTGGTTGGGGACAGGCTTTTGAGGCAAAGCTGCCTTCCTTGCCTGCTAATTGTTATGTTTTCCAAAGATGTTATCAACTAAGTTGTGTTCAACAAACTGCTATTTAATTACTAGAGTAAAATCCTGTTAATTAGCCAGCCCCAGAAGACATCCTTCATCCCTGTTAAGTGAAATTCCCAACTAATCCCTCCAGCAGCCATTGTGTTGCAGCCTGGAGAGCAGTCAGTGATGGCCACAAAGGTGAGTGGAGCACCAGAGCTCTTCAGCCCTGGGAAGGTGCAGACCAGCACAAGTGTAACACTCAGAAGTAAAAAACTGTTCATTCCTCTTACCAGTCTGTTACAGTGCGCTCGGGCTATGCCTTCCCCATTTCCAGGGACCCCTGTGACTCTGATCAGATAAGCAGGGTCCCTTCCTTCCTGCCCTGATGGGGTTGGCAGAGAGCCAGAAAGCCCTCCCTGTCCAGAGCCTAGATAAGGCCATGACTCTTCCTGTTCACTCTCTTTTCCTCCTCATCTCATGGAATAAAGAAGCTGGACAACATCATCGGGGGAATTGGAGCCTCTTTTGTATCTTTGCCCATCTCCTGACATGCCTTCCCTCAAGGCTCCGTGTATCTGGGCTGGCCTGGTGATTCGGGGGGCTGAGAGGGATAGGAGTGTCACCAATCCATGGCTCTCCTTCCTGGCTCCAGTTGCCCAGGTGGCTTCAACCACAGCCTGGCCAGCATCTCCTCTTCCCCTGTGCTCCCCTGTGCTGCATCCCCTTCCTTCCTCTGCAGTCCATGCCTGTGCCCATGCAAGAGGCTGGCAGTGCCCCTTCAGCTCCACACCACCCTCCACCCACCACCCAAGCTTTCCCCAGGAGGATGCAGTGAGCACTTGTCAAGGTGCTACAAACACTTCTAAACACAGCCAGAACTCTCCTCTTAGCTCTCATCTCACCTGCCTTCCCAGGTGTATCAAGGATATGACGTTTCCACAAAATTCACAAAACAGCCTGGATAAAAGCGACAAGTGCTCCAGTTACAGAAAAAGCTTCAGCCTTTCTGGATAGTGCCTGAAGGCACCATTCCAGTGTGGAAGGGATCAGCCAGGGCTTGTTCCCACCCCAAGAGGCAAGCAGGTTTCTTTAATTTAATTCTTTCATTTCATTCAGTCTGGAGTTTCTTTGCAGTCTATCACCATGGAAGTTAAATGTTTTAATTTTACATTGAAATGCCAGCAGAAATTAATTTTGATAGGAAGTTGTAGGCACTTCTCTGATATCCATTTAAACAATTTAGAAGATTTTGAAGTACTAGGGGGCTCATTTAATCAAGTTCAATAAAGCAAATCTCCAGGTGAAAATAATTAATATTTAAAAGAGTATAAAAATTAACTGTTCAACATGATTTGGTATAAATGCATCCCTACAGATGTGGGAATGAAAGGATAGTTCAAAAATTCTGCTAAGTCTTAAAATCAATGGTTGCAAAATTCCGATATGCAATTTGTCATGTTCCTGTGAACTTGCACTGCCCAGTTTGATCAAGTCCAGTCCTGGATTGTGGCATAAGAAACACTGAATTTTAGTTAGAAGACATCCATCAACCCTTATTCTAAGTAATACTAACAACTACTATCAGAATTAAGGCATATGGACAAAAATAGAATCCCTGATTTTATAGACTAGGAACTTAAAAGAATTAAAAATTTTCAACAATTTGAAATATGGACCTTGATAGTCAGCCTTTAGTTACCCTACCCTACAGCTAGAATGATGTCTCTAAGTCTTTACCCAATGTTGAAGCAGAGAGGTTTTTAATATTTAAGAGGCATACAAGGCAACAGCAGAAAAATATTTGCCTGCAGTTGGATGAATAAAGTAATACCTTAAACTGGAAAGTTCCAGTGACATCACCAGATCAGCCCCTCCAGCTCTACCGGAATCAACATCCGTCCTGAAAACAAACCTGGAGAAGAAATAAGAGGCTGTGGCTTGTTTCCAAAAGTAAAAGGAAGCAGAGGGAGAGGTGCATGATTAATTCTCCATTAGCATTCCACTTACATTTCCTCCGAAGACAGGGAAATATTTCAAGTGAAAAATCTTGCTCATCAAGCAGTTGAAAACCTTTCTCCTCACTGTGTTCTAGCCCTCACTTCCCTGAAGTCACTTTCCCCCTCCATCACACAGGCTTGGAGGCTGTCCAGGTACATCCCTGCAAGTATTCACTGGTACTTCACACTTCTTCACTGAAAAAAATTAATCTAAGAAAAAAACAGCTTTTAAAAGAGTAAGTTTTAATATAAAATACACAGGTTTTAAAAAGTATGACCAGTAACATTTCATCCCAGAAAGCAATTACAGAAGGAAGACACTTGGATTTTAGAAAATTTGTTTAATTAATAATGCTCATTAACTACACAGTTTTAATCCATAAATACAGGTTAAAGTTGTAAGTACAAGATAAAGTTGTAAAAAAAAAAATCTCAAATGTGTGATACTTATTTTTAAATTTCTTTGATTTTTATGGCTGCTTCTTAATACACTAAAGATGTGGAAATCAGTGCAACTTAAAGAGCTACCACACAAAAACCTCTAAAGGATGGAGGAGTGCTCAGCAGAGGGTATGTTCATCTCTACCTTGCACCTCCTTGTAAGAGGAACCACATCAATCTTTTCAAATAGTTAATAGACACAAACATTTAAAGGTTAACACTGTTTATATTCCTATTCAAGCTGCAACACAAATTTCTTTTCTGTATTTTTTGTTTATTTTAAAAAGGATACTCAGGAAGTTTTGAGGGCTTGAAACTACAGATAATGGGATCTCTTCCTTTTAACTGAAATCAGCAGCAATTCTGACACTGTCCTAGTGGGTGTAGACATGGGCCTGATGTACTTAAGGAAGTGGGAGGAATGGACAGTTTGTACAATTCATTAGAAATTATTCATGACACTTTTTCATGGATGTACAGAAAAATACCATGAGAGAGCATACTTACAATGTAAAACCATAAATACCCTATCACCCTCAAATAAGAGGTGTTGAGTTTGCAGGGTTTTCTGCAGAGAAATTTCTGATTCTAACCTGAACAAGGGCTTTGCTGAAATCAATACAATTAAAAGACATTAGCATCATCCTACACAGGGTTAGTCCCAGTATAAATGTGTTCTATTTAATTGCTCATTTTTCTATTTACATTTACAGTATGTGCTGTTGTGAGTGCAAGACCAGATTACACTGAGGATTAGAATAAATGCAGTGCAATTCCTTTCTCTCTTGGGGCAAAACCAGTGAGTAAATTTTAACATGATAGGAATGTTTCAAAGTAAAAATTGAAAACACATTTCCCCAAGCCAGGATTCCTGTATGTGCAGCACATCTTGGAAAAGCAGAATAGCATCTCTGCATGTTTGCTTTTCACTAAGTACAGCACAGAAGAAAAAGCCAACTATCTCAAAGAAATGAAAACAAATATAATCTGGGTGAACAAACAAGTGGCCAAAATATTTTTTAGAGACACAACTGAGAACTGAAAACACCAACTCAACATGAAGCAATGAATCACGTATTTAGTGGTCAAGGCAACTGTTCAGGGTTTTTTTCATTTTCAGTAGCAATAGGTCAGTGTGAAATGTCAGAAACTCAAAAGGGCCAACCCCATGTAGCACTTCTGCAGGGCTTCCACCATCTTCCTTCTTGTCCAGACCAGCTCAAAACACCAAATAACAACAAATGATCTTGGCATACAATGCACTCAATACTTTCCACATCAGCCTTCAAAAGCATGATGCTCTCTGTGGGCTAGGGAAGAGAGGAGAAAAAAAAATTAATAGAAGAACATGTAAACTCTGTCAAGGAGTTTAAAAGATTAAAAAAAAAGAGCCCAAAATATGGGATACCTTAAAATCCTGATTGCAAATTGTTCCTCTAAATTAATACTTAAATTGGACAGTATGTAGCATTGAGAGTTCTTAAGAGATTTGTTTAATTTGTTTTGTGAATTAGGCACGTTAAACACAAAACAAAACAGATTGTACAATGAAATTTAAAGTATCTTTTGAATGATAGCTAACTTCTACATTGAAGGGACATAATTTTAATGCAATGTCAGCTGCTATGTTCATAAGTGATTAATGGTGAATCAGGCAGGATATTTCCACAGAAATACCCTACCACCATCTTGTTTTTCTAATGAAGGTAGAAATAAACAGTACAAAATACTTACATTTATAAAAGATCACTTTAAAAGATGTGTGTGGAAGAAGTTTATGAATCTTTTCTAAAACTTTTGCTTCACTTGCTGAAGAGGAATTCATGTTCCAGACTTGCACAACATCTTCACGGTCACGAACACTGACACTAACCCCTATTACTTCATCATCTGCACAGAAGGGGAAGAACAATCAAGGAATACTTTAAAAGTGAGACATGTCTAATTTGCTATTTATGTATTATGAAACGGTGCCTAAAACTGGAAAAAAAATAAAGATGCAGAAAAAAGAGCAATCTCCAGTGAGGAAAATACCAATGTTCAGACCAGACAAAGTAGTTACCAGAAAGAAGTTATTGGAAATATTACCTCATGGTGTTTTTTATGAAGTGCCATAGGATTATTCATCTTTGCTATTAGCCCTCTCAGACTTGATTAGAATGGAATCACAAGACTCTCTCCAGTAAGGTCAGCAATATGAACTACTAAAGACAATTTACCCACAGTGATGTCTACAAGCAGAAATGGAAGGATGAGGGTGAAACAACTAAAACTTCAGGAAAAGTACCTGGTAGAGACCAGACACCAGCTTTTCCAGACTTTGCTCTCTTTTTCCTTTACATTTTGTCAAGGCAGCAACAGGAAAAAAAAATAGAAAATAAAATTAATGAAATTAATAAAGCCCCAGCCAGTCTGCTGCTGCTGCCAGTGCTGGTAACTCAGTGCTACACTGAAGAAGCCTTTTCTGGTGCGAAGTTCTCAGGATGCAGCTTTGTGGAGAGCTCAATGGCCATGCCACAGCTGGGAGCAGTGGCTGCTCCAGCTGTGAGCTCCATGGCACAGCTGCTCTGTGCATCCCAAGGAAAGGGTCACTAACAATACACAAAGGTGGTGTCAGAAGAACAATGCCAAGGGCAAGAACCACCCTGTGGACAGCAGAATATCATATATTTGCTTCAAGTGATCCCAAGACATCCCTAGCAGTACATAAAGGGTGTGAGAGACCATTTAAAAGGTTATTTCTGAACTGCTCTGTAAACCTGAGAAAGGCCATTCTTTTTTGTGGAATGATAGCCAGTGAAAGACAATTCCTAACAGGATATTCACTGTCACTGAAATAGCCACTTTTATCAGACATTCACGCTTAGAAGAGAAGCAAATATGGTGAAAAGAATGATGAAGAAATGTCTCAATCATTACCTGCTGCACAACAATCTGTAAACTGCTCTCCAATAGTTGCTAGCAGTAGCTCTTTCCAAACTGCAGCCTAAGGAGGCAGAAAAAATATTACATTGACGTTATTATTTCTTAAATTGAAAGTTAGGTTTGCTAGCTCAGTTTTGAGTGTCTTCTCTTTCTGAGGTTGTCTAAAAAAAAGGGAGTATTTATTGTAAGTGCATGCTGTGTTATATAATTAATTGTTGGGTCTGTACAAGATATCTCATCTTAGCCAAGGAGATGCTGTGCCCACGTTTGATGAAGAATGAAGCCAAAAAAAAAAAAGAAACAGAATGCTATTTACAAGGCACTGAAAGCTGGCTGAAGTTCACCTTCAAGCAAACCTTTCAGAAGTGACTGAGGCCATGTGGTGCATACTTTGAGAGATCAAAAGTATCTTCGTGTCAAAAAGGGGCTGTCATTCAGCCTCTGAAAAACAAGGCCCCTGGGGTCCCTAAATTCACTGCCCAGTAATTCAGGCTCTCCAAACCACTTGTCACTTCTGACAATCTTCACACCTTAGATTATAGGAGGAAAAAGACAATTTCACTTTCAGTCTTTTGTGACCACTTGGGACTGCGGGGGAGGAAAGCTGCAGCTCACATACAAGGAAAAAGCCCACAGGCAAAAATCAATTAACTTTCGGCTGAAATTTTGAGTACCATCTTTCAGCATTTAATGCCTTCTGCAAGGCTGTCACATTTTTCTGACACTTCACTTTTTCTGTTTAAAGGCCTGATCCAGAGCACATTTACACACATAAACACCATGTGTGAAGAGGTCAAATCTCCTTTCTGTGGCAGTCCACAGAAGTTACTCACATGCATTTGATTAGAGAGGCAAAGAGAAACACAATTATTTCATTCGAGCTCAAGGATATGCCTGAATAGACTTAATTTTTAAATGAAAGAAAATATATAATTTAGCATAGATTATCAGGAAAAGGTCTTTCTATTTTTCTTTGCCTATAAGCAAACAGTCTGAAGAACAAAGGTGATAATAAATTACCATGTTTCAAATTGAAACACTGTAGCTTTCTTTTTTTTTTTTTTTTTTATAATACGTTGCCAAATGTTATCTAAAACAAGAGATATGTAATTATTGGAAAATAAACTTCTGCTCTTTGACTTTAAAAGGTTATGGAAGTTAAATTAGTATTTGGTTGTTGTGTTGGGTGATGTAAGAAGTAAAAACCTTTACAACAGCTTTATCAAACAGAGTTTAAAGAAACTCCCTTACTAAACAAGGTCTGAGTAAAGAGTCAATGTAACATACCGTACTTTCTTTAGGGACCTTCATTTTCCATATACCTCCTTTGGCATTGCTTCCTTCTTCCCTGTTATGGGAAATAGATCAGTGAAAATACACATTCAAATCCATATCTAGATAACCCTATGTTTGTGGTTTAATTTTCCCAGAAAAATCCCATGTGAAATGCAATCACTAAATTCAGGCAGCATGACTCTCACTTCTGACATCAGAGATGATTCTTTCATTGTTCATATGAAGTGCATCTCTCAACACCTAATCCTTTTCCTAAGTTTTGTGTGTTGGAAAACACTTGTATTTTCCCTGACTACAGACCATCTTTGAAGTGGCTGCATACTGTATGGGAACAAACCACAAAACAATTTTACATTTTACTATGGTAACCTTTAATTTTGGAAAACCTCTGGCATATTTTCACAGAAGCAGCTTTTTACTCTTCCGTTTATTCCATTTAATAAAAGAACATGAGCACACTTCATTTCAGTTTTGTGACAGCTAGAAATTAATTGCCCTTATTAAAAAAAGACTGAAGCTGCCACGGGTCAGGGAAGATGTAACCATTAAACTGCCTTGTAATGACAAAGGCACAGTGCACTAACCTGTGAGCTTCTCACGTTTATTCTGTCACAATTCTTTTTCTAAGACTTTAAATTAGGGCTTCTAGTTTCCTGTTAAAACTCTGTAAAGGCCAAATTAAATGAATGACCTAAAAAATCATCTTTGTAATATCTATACCCAGTGTGTTACCTATAGAGATTCCTCAGGATCAATGGTCTCCTACCAATCCTGACAGATGCTGGGGAAAACAGGGGGAAACTTTGGGAGGACATCTTCAAAAATCTGTATCCTCAATTCTTACTTCAGTATTTCTCTTTCTTTCTAAATGAAAAAAAAATACAAAATACTGAAATTGGCCTGTATACTGTAATGGTAATCTGAGAAAAGCTTCTTGGCAGTAATTATCGAAAAGTTAGCAAATTACTGATGATGAGATCAATCTCTTGCATTTCCTTTCTAAAATGCAACATTACTTTCATAGGCTTAAAAAAGTGTTTAATTTTCAAAAATGATCTTTTCATTTTACACCTCTAGTAGTCACTTAACAAATGAAAACTAAAACTATTTTTTAAAACCTCAAAAAATCAAACCCCTTAATGCTCTCATTCATCCTTACAAAGATAGGAAAGTCTGGACACCGTGGCCCAGTGGATTTATACAGGTATCAATGGTTTTTCATACCCACTTTAGCAATCCTGATGAGTCACAGTATTTTCAGAAAAGTAATACAGACTTTCAGATGCATTTCACTTTAGAAAATTTACATTTTCAGTAAAGCAGGACAGAAATTTTCTGTAGTAAGTCATCACAAAGTTAGACAACTATGATTGTTTTACAACTAATGTTCTAAAGAATCCTAATGCAATCACAATCTAGGTAATTGATGCCAAAAAGATCAAAACTCTTCGGAAAATGCTGAGGCTCTCTGAGATGCAACAGAACTGCAGCAGGAAGAAGGGATGCAAAGTTTGATCTCTGAAAGGAAAACATCAATTACTTATACTCTATTCCATTACTATCCTACAATCAAGTAGGAATTTTCTGCAATGAATCACCCCATAATGTCTTAAATTAGTTTTGATCCAAGGTGCATGGACATGTACAGGCATATGAAGCATGGACTTCACCTGTACTTTTGCACAGGTGAAAAAGAAGTGAAGGACCATCAGTTGTTTGCATCATTGTTTCACCAGCTTCAGTGGAAAGAAAATAATGTGCAAGCTAAAAAATTTCAGATAGAAGTAACTTATTCAGTGTATTCCTAAATTGAAATTCAGAGTCATAATTCTAATTTCTCGGCTTCTATTTCATAATCTATTTTTGTACCTTTACATCCAGAGGTGGACATTGAAATTACAGTCTGTGTTTTTAATAAAGACTCTTTGGTACAAGTCACTTTTAAACTGAACAAGAACCTTGGGGTATTTCTTTCATTGGTCCCTTGAGTTCAGGTGTTTTCAGCCAACAGAAACAAGACCCTCCTGTCCCACACCTTTCATTCCCTCAAGTTATTCCACTGCCTGTTCCCAGAAATGTCTGGTGACACCGCACGTACCAAAGTGGGCGCCTTTCTCCCCTCATTAAATGGTAGCTACATCTCAGAGGCAAGTTTGTCACGGGAGGAATGTTGTTGTAGACACTCCAGAAATCCTTGAAAAGGAAAAATATTAGTTGCATTAACACAAGAGAGTGTTTCATGCAGATTTATTTCCATGCTAATTTCCTCTGAAACAATTACACATCCTTCTCCTGGAGAACAGGCACTTTCTATGTTATAATAAAATGCTCTGAAAGGAACTTCTTACAGAATCATTTATATTTTTTTTTTTTTAGATGCCAATTCTGCATACATCAAGGTGGAAAAAAGGGAAGCAGTCCAAATGTGGATCCTTTTGAATACAAAGGGGAAAAAAATCATCAAAACCAGAGTTACACTGGCTGCATAAACCTTCCTTAGCATATTAAGAAGATATATTTATATTAAATATCCACCTTGCTTCACTTATGGCTAGCCTAAGTGTCATTATGATTATCCTGAGTTACAAAAATACCATAATGCTGGTGAACTAAATGTCTAACCAGCAACCAACTCGTTTGTCTGAGTGAAAGGTTTCAACCAGATGCAAAGAACCTGAGATGCACATGTTAATACAGGAGTGAGGGAGAAATTAAAATATTCAAGTTACCAGGAACCATTGGATTACTTCCCAATGTTTCTGCTGGTAAAAGCAGAAGCTGTCAGGGAGATTTGGGGTGGATAAAAAGGCACCCAAAAGCAGTAGTGAGCAACAGGGAGGGATGATTGAAAATATTCCAATCTCTTCTCTCTTTATCCAACAGTTGGGAATAGAAAGGATTTTTAGAGACTTAAGTTGCATCAACCAACATGTGGTGGTGCAATATTAATCATTAGTGCAACTCATTAAGTATTATCTAGATATAATATGTAAGGTTTATCTAATACATTAAGTAGTATCTAATACTTAATCACTAGTACAACTTCAGAAAGAAGGATTGCAACATTATGTGATAAAATTTTGTGGCCCTTGGCAACTCTGCCTGACAGCCATTACCCAGCCACAAGAAATTGAAAACTACTAAAACATAAAAACTTGGTATGAAATACCCATTTTGACTATGATCTTATTCTTAAATGGTTGTGTGCCCAAATCCTAAAGCTACTTGCAGAAGAGGTACACTGTCTCTGTAAACATTTGAGAGCTCTTTTTGTCCTGAACTAGGGACGTGGTTTGGAAGGTTTTGTGTTTGGAAATCTCATGCAATCTATGCAGTTGTGCAGACCTTCATGAAAAAGCCTTACTTAAAACTTCAGTAGATTGCTACAGGTGTGCTTCTCAAAGAGAAGGGTCTGGCATTTCCCTAAAATTTCAGAGATTAAGTGAAATAGCTTAGCACTAAGGTGAGACAAATACCACTTTGCTACACACTTCATGCTAGCTGTGGTATTAAAACAGAAATACAATTTTACTTGCAACAGATACCCACTGCTAGACACTGGCAGATGACAAAGACATGCAGGATTTCTCACTGCTACAAGTATTACACAGTTTAAGAGTTCTTTCATTCAGTTTGCTAGAATCTGTTTTTAGATACATACTCAAGGAGAGAAACTCCACCAAAAAAAATCCACATGCTGCAATTTTTAGTCTTTGTGCAATTAATTTCTGTATTAGAAAAAGGAGAAAAGGCTGGAAAGATATTTAAAGAACATCAAATATTCAATGTACTAGTGGAAATTCAGGAAGGTTAAGAATCCACGTGCCCAATCCAACATGCCTCCTCCTTTCCCCATCCAGAAAGACAAATGAAATTCAAACACTGACTCAGTAATACAAACACACAACACCAGTAACACTCACGTTTCACACCTCAGGTAAGCAAAGCCACAGGTGTGACTCATCCTAGGAGGAAAAACGAAACTTGAGGTGTGAAGTTACATTAATAAAATGTGGCAGCTCCTGTAGTGGAGCCAGGCGCCTTACCTGCACTGTTTGTACTGTATATATCTTCTTCAAATTTAATGCACATTCAGCTGCTGTTGTACCAGGAAGTGACCTTGAAGACAAAGCACTGATTAATTAAAATATTTCTTTTATCAAGGAGTGGGAGAAGAAAGATGGAGAGGGAATGTGAATCGCATGAGTGTGAAGTTGAAACGTTCACGTGTCAAAGGGGAAGTCCAATTCCAAATTATCAGGAATCATTTCAAGATAGGAGTTAAACTTCTTTTATACTTGCGAATAAATTAATATTTGCCAGGTAATTCGTAAAACTAAACACAAGTATCAGGAGTTTTAGCCAAGCAGCACAGTGCTGCCCTCAGAGCTACCACACACCATCAAAGCCCTGCTGTTCAGAGGCTACCAGAAGGGGACGGCATGATCGCACCCCGGAATTATTTTAAATTACATTTAATACACCCCAACCCCCGTTTTTAGCATTTTAATACACCCCAACCCCCGTTTTTAGCATTTTAAGGCGCTTCACACTTTAAAAAGGAAGCGCTGCGGGGCCCTCAGAGCCGGCCGCTAGGTGGCGCAGGCGCACAGCGGCGGGCAGGCGGGCACGGCGGGGCATGGCGGGCACGGCGGGGCATGGCGGGCACGGCGGGGCATGGCGGGGCACGGCGGGGCATGGCGAACACGGCGGGGCATGGCCAACACGGCGGGGCATGGCCAACACGGCGGGCACGGCCGCACCTTCCCTCAGCCCCGCACCGCCCTCACCAGCGGTCACACCCGCCACGACCTCCTCGCCACCCCTGAAGGGTGGCACACGCACGGAGCTGAGGAGAAGCACAAGTCCCACAGGTCAGGCTGTGGCTCCCCACGTACCCAGGGAACCTCCATGACTTCCACTGCCGGGACTGGTGCCTTCAAGGCACATTTGCCAGCAGCACGCCCTGGAAGCCAAGACATCTTTGGGCTGGTCTCACTGCCAGACACCCCGGGGCACCAGGCCTGGTTCAGCCTCTGTAGCTCACCCTCACGCTGGCCATCACCAGCTCCCAGCTGGAGCTGCTTCCCTCCCTCAAAGGCCTTCAGGGGAAGCCATAAGAGGACTGGTTGAGGTCACTTGGTCCGTTCAGCCCAGAGACCGAAGGGAGATCTTGTTGCAATCTACAAGTTCCTCAGGAGGCGAACCAGATCTCTGTGGTGACCACTGACAGCACCCAGGGGAACAGCTGGAGCTGTGCCAGGGGAGGTTTAGGCTGAATATCAGAAATGTAGTTCTTCCTCCAGGGGCTGAGGGCACTGAACAGGCTCTCCAGGGAATGGTCACAATCCCATGGCTGCCAGAGCTCCAGGAGCATTTGGACAATGTTCTCAAACACACGGTGTGTCCCTTGGGGATGGTCCTGTGCCGGGCCAGGAGCTGGACTCAATGATCCTCATGGGTCCCTTCCAACTCAGGATGTTCTGTGATTCTTTAGGCACACACAGCACCAGCTGCATCCCATCCTCTGAAAGGTCTTTTCCAACCTAAATGGTTCTATTTATAATCTTTTCCATGACTCTTCAGTGCATGAGACATGGGACGGTGCATCCACACCCCCAGAAATCCCCATGTTCCTGTCACTACACTAACATCCTAACACCCACCTTACAATTCCCAGGCACAATTTTGGGGGAATGAGGTCAAAATTGCTAAGGCACATTCAATTTCTTAGAACTAGAAACATTTTTCTTTCCCTTCAGAAGCTGAAGTAGGATTTCTAAAGAAAAATGAAGATCAAAGACAAAAGCAACCTCCCATTGTGTCTCAGAGGAGGAAACAAAAATGTGTAAAATTACTAAATCTGGAAACAGAAGCAAGAGAGTGGGTTTAAAGAAACAGAAGAAAATGCAGCTGTTGCTCGGGTACCAGCTGAAGAAAGGATAAAAGCAAACCAGATCTCAGCATCCCTCCCTGATACATCTGATCAGCATGAAATATGTCCAGGGAAACACTGAAGTTACTCTCAGTTGTTACAGATATAATTGAAGCTCTGGGCAAACCCTAGATATTCATGTAAAGGAAGAAATTTAATATGCAAAACTACTGAAACAGCATCACATCTTCAAAAGTCTAATAATAGCTCTGAGGTTTTTTCAAGGCTCCTATTAAAATAAGCTGCTTTAAAAATACATACAAAACCAGCAGAAATATACCTCCCAACTTTTTCAGTATAATGCAGGCAAACTAGCGTCTGCTTTACTACTTGCCTGTTAAATGCCCAAACTAAGAGCACATTTCAGTGGTAGAACTGAAACAAACAAGCAACAAGGAATCGCCATGGCACACCTTGAAGTCCAGTGGCTCATGAACGATGAGAGCTCCCATGAAAAAACTGATAATTTAAAACCAGGAAAAAAAAAAATCTGTCATCAGCGTGATAAAAGGAATTATCATAGTAAAGTTTTGAGGTCTGGGTTTTTTCGTGTCTGTGTTTTGGCATTTTTATGTACACTTTACACTCAGCATTAAAGAGCAAAATGAGAAATTAACAGTATTTTACAGAAACAGAGCCAGTTAGATTGCTTTTGAAACCACACAAAAAAGGTAGTAAGTTCAAAAAGACTTTAAAACTTATCAAGTGGTTTAACTATTTGTCAGTAGAGATTAGTGGATTCACAATCAACTACCCCGTGTTCTTTTCTTGCTAACCATACTAGCACCTCCCTACTAATGCTTTGTTCCAAGCAGAACGGAACAGAAACAGGCAAAACCTGAGATAAATTTTGCTTCACCCAACTGCCCAATAATAGATTTTTGTCTCACCCCACTGCCCAAGAAATTACTTCTCTTCTGGACAATTTCTGCCACTGGTGGCTTAGCAGTCACCAAGCATCTGGCATTACATATGCTGTACTACAGATACTATCATCACTTGATAGCCTCGTGCTGATACTGCCACTGAGCTGCTTCAATAGTAAGGGCTACTCAAAAAAAAGATTAAAACTATTCTCTAGCCATAGCCTTCAAAGGTTACCTGGATCATCATGGTGGCTATTTAGCAAATTTAATGCCATTTAAAAGAGCGGCTAAGACAGGTAGGCAGAATATACCACTCCGAGGTTATAAAATGATTCATTTTGATAGTTGCAAATAATGTTTTCCAGAGAAACTGTTTTCAGCTGGCAGAAAGCACCAACCAACCAACCAGAAAATTACCTATTTTAAAAGTTATGGTGATGACCATTTACTCCTAGTAACCTGCCTGGTAAGTGCTCCAGACCCACCAGATTACAGTGTTATTTCAGCCTTTCATTCAGCTCTGGAAAGTGTAAGTCACTTATGGATATGAGCATGAACACCCAAATGTTTTTATCTGAAAAACAAACAATCAAGCAAAACCACAATCCTACTAAAATCCCATAATTGAGAAAATGATGATGCATCCATTTAAAAGTTCAGGATCGTTTGCTCCAGAATTTACACCTGCACAAATTTGGTTTAATGCATGAGTATAAGGCAGGGACAGTATTTTGATCAGACAGACAGAAGAAAAAAGCCTTGAATTTCCTGCAAAATTCCAGACTGCAGACAAATCTGAACTGTAGTGTTTCTGTTTCACCCAGAAACTCAGCAGATCCACACAGATGACCACTGAGGAGTTCTGTGCCTTGAAACCCATGAAATTGTGATTTATTTTCTTTTTAGCTGAGTACACATTTTAAGTTAAGTTCAAATTAAGTTAGCGGAAATGACAGATTATTTTCAAGTGAAAGAATCTGTGGAAATTCCTATTTCTGTAATTCTCCAGCAAAAACTTGCACTTTAAGGTAGGAGTAGTGAGATGGTCGTACTTTACTAAAAACCTCAGTACACGTGGTACTACAAAACAAGACCCTGCAAATATTGACCCTCAAAATGAAGCCATTACAGGATTCTTCTCATTCAGATAATACTGCCATCAACAATACAATTAATCCAAAATACTCTGCTGACCTGTCAGTTATTGCCATGGTGAACAGCTCATTTCCAAGAACTCAACAAATAAATCCTAATGCCAGCTTTCTTTGCTACTCCTTCATTATTCCAGCACGAATAAAGAACAAAGGCTACAAAGATAAATTCCATTGTTTTATCCATGAATAAACCTCCAGGTGGTTGCACTTATGTTAATTTCTGATGCTGAACTGTAGCTTTTCTGTTTTTCTGCAAAGAATTAAGTATAGAAGTTGTTTCATATGTGCTCACACTGGCCTTTGTTTCCCAGTGGGAATCTCATCACAGCTTTAGTGGAAGCTCTAAAAGCTGCCAAGCAGTTTTGAAAATACCCCTGTAACTGCTTAGCCACAACTGCTTTTGGTATAAATAAGCAAAATATTTACTTGTAAAGCATTAAGTCAAAAACATGCTGTGGCAACTAAATAAATCTAGTAATCCATTCTGAATACAAAGACTGATTTCAAGCCATCAAAGCCTGTCAAAATGCACTTACTGGATTGAACATTCTTATAATATTAACCATCATTTTTCATTGTAAGCCACCTACTCATAAGCTGTAATAGATGAAATAGATGATCTAGATAAATAAATTTTGCTATCAGCAAGAAGGGAAATTATTAAGTTTAGTTTTAAATATCTGATGTGTTATGTTAGGAAGATTAACACATTATTAAAATGGTTCAGTTATCAAAATGTATCTACTCAGCTTTATATAGAATTCATCTACAACATACAGAGAGAAAAATCTTTCCTGGAGTAGACAAATAACACTGCCTATTTGACAATGTTTACAGACACATACTTCCCCTCACAAAGATACAGAAGAGTTAAACTAATCTTGTAAGAGAATTGAGATTATCTAAAGGGCATTGTTAAAAGTCTGGCAAGAAAACAGGGCAAGCAGGCCATGATCCTGCAAAATGATGGGAAACTGGGAGGAGACACAGCCAGGACAGCTGACCCCAGCTGAGCCAAGGGATATTGCAGACCCTCTGACATTGTGCTCAGTATATAAAGTGGGGGAAGGAGGAGGAAGGAGGGATGTTTGGAGTGATGGTCATATGGGATGGAGCCCTGCTCTCCTGGAGGTGGCTGAACACCCAGATCCACAGCCCCAAATCCCATTAAGGGATGGTTTCAAGTGCATAAGGTGGCTTGTTATCCAGGACAGCCCAGCCTTTGACGGTCATGTCACTTGACTTTTCCCTTTGTGCAATTCCAGTGTTGAAAGTGCTACACAATATAGTGACCAGATTGGTAATATTCATATTTTATTTGTTATATTCAGTGATGCATATTGACACTTCATTCTAAAAAACAGCTGAAAGACTATACAATGTAAAAAACCTAAGAAGGCAACTTTTCCTTTCAGAGACAGAAGCCACTACAGGCAGAACCAGAGTCTTCCTGAGATAAGCACGAGTGTAAAGAGCTACCAGCATGAATCAGCTTCCCAAGGTGGCAGCAAAAGCCCCCACAAGCCTTGCTGAAATTCCCCCTGCTCCCTAGCATCACTGCAGGCAAGAATCCTACCAATGAGACATGCGGGTATGAACTTGGAAATCTGTAGAATGGACAAAATAAACAGCAAATCTAAACTCATGTTTTCC